CCTATGTTAGTCAATGAATGTTATTTTATTTTATATGATTGAAGAACTTGACTGATTTTTAAAAAGTTAACGTCTATGCAATGACTTAGTAATATTTTGTAATTAATATAACATGTGCTTAATGCGTTTTGAAAAATTACAGCCATGACACTTACATTTGAAATAATTTTTTTTTATAATCAACACTTATTAAATTAATTTTTATTAAGAGAAATTCGATTGGAAAAATAATGAATTTTGTAAATTATTCGAATTAATTTTGTGTATTGTTTAATTTTGAATAGAGTACACAAATTAAACAGCATACTCGCAGCTAGATGCCGTCAACGACTAATCTCGTCTATGATTATTAAAGCTGATGACTCTAAATAGTAAAAGTAATTATTGAATACAGTTGATATCGACCACCCGGAAATGGTTTTGAACACTCAGAATACGAAACAGTATTTCCTAGGCGTTCGTTTTGTAATTAGTTTTGTAAATGAGCTAGAAGAAAGTTTACTCGCTAATAACAAAAGCTAGATTCTGGCAAATACTTTCTGCACCAAAAAGTTCCGTACTTATACGTTTACGGAAGAATAAGTACTCTACGGTTCACCTAGTTCACAAAAGATCGTACTTGAACGATCTCAGGAACAACGTATAACGCCATTACTGAGGTTGTTGCTTCAGTTGTTTGGCGCGCGTTATTTAACTAGAAACAATTAAATATTTAGGCAATAACTATGTAAAACTATTTACTTATTATAAATTATTGCTATTTTCAAATTTTCATCTGTATAATCAATTTTTAACTTAATTGATAAGATATTCTTTTTATTTTTGTGAAGTATATGGCTGATCAACTACATAAGTTGCTCCGACCGTCAATTTTCTTTCTAAGAATAATCCTCAATTATTCGTGACAAACAGTAATATCTTATTTGGGAGCGACTTCCATAAAAAATCTTAAATATTACTCCTCTTCGTTTTGTATACCGGTCTTATACCTTCTACAAAAAGTACTAGACAAAACAACAGTGTCCATGATTCATTTAAGCCTATTCTTTTTAGTATTTATTTTAGTTGAAGGATTTGTATTAAATCTCGAACAGCGACCATGATTCATAACAGTCACAATTATGGTACGCAGGTGATTATATTATTTAATATTTAAGTAGTCAATAATTTTGATACTTTCATGGGCCATAACTGGAAAATGAAAAGAAATTTAACAAAAATAAAAATTATGTTTTATTTTGAAGATGATGTTCTTCGTGTCATTATACCTGTTTTACATGAAATAGATTTTTGTTATATACCTTTTTTGAGTAAGGCTCATTTTAATTTTGATATCTACTTAATATTTTAAAAAAGGTAATAAAAAATGAATTATTATTGGTGGTCTAAAATAATATAGGTAATGCGGATGTAATTATTTTTCATTATGGTGTAGTTTTTCGATATTAATATGATTGGTAATTTCAACCCTAGCCTCATTTCTGTATTCTCAATGGATTATCCGATTTGGAGAAGGAATGTATAAATTATATATATTGGAGCACCGAAGGCTAAAGTTTAATTCTCTTCCAAATAAGGGATGGCAAAAACAACGAGCGAATTCGAGAAATGCTACTACATCCCAATGGACCAATGTTCCACCATGGTGTTGTTTTTGTAATTTGAAATAGTACCAATAAGATAATTATTGAAATTTTAATTTTACCCCACCCCAAATTTTTTTATTCTCTGATTGTTGGCAATTATACGCAAGCTTATAAATAGATTTTATTCATGATTCGTTGTCATGTAAATATTCTCACAATAATGATATTAACTGTAGACTATAATTATTTTACTTGTTGACGAACACAATTATTAATCAGTAAAATATTGATAGAAATTTCGTATAAAAAAGTATTACCGTTATGGTAAAAATGACTCACAATCACTTCTTAGATTACTGTCGTATGATATTTTTATGGCGAGTTTATTATTTATCACAACATACATGTGTAAATGTCATTAAAATTTCGAAAAATTATTTCACATATTTTTTAGAGTATATTTCTGCCCGATAACGATTGGTAATCTTCTATTGAAAAATTCGCGTTAACCGTCCAAGCGAAAACTGATACTGCTATTTACTACTATGAACAATACACTGACCTGACAATTAGTTATTGGGTCAATGACTAGAATTTTTTACGTTACTCACCATAAAAAACTCACACATTTATTTAAAAATAGATATTATCTAAACTAAACTATAAATGAACAATCCATTTTCAATATAATATTTATATTGAATAATATAATATAATATATATATATATAACTTTATTTCAAATAAACTAAGCGAACTACCTAATAATTGTAGGTTGCCAGAATTGACACAGCATACTTATCAACACTATTGTACATAATAAATAATGATAATAATAAAATTTCTGCAGTACATAATAATAGTAATTTTATATAACTAAGAGCGGTTGTACCATACCCATCATTTGGTAACCAAACATGAAAAAATAATGAGGATAAATCTAAATATTTGAAAACAATAAAAATTGTAAAAAATGAGCCGATTATTTATGGATTTTACATTAAACTGTTCGAAAGTAATAATACCAAAAAGTAAAAACATAATTATTATTAGTGGAAATATATTTTACTAAGATAAGAGCAACCTATTGTATAAAATATTATTATTATTTTTTGTTAAACATAATTATTATTATTACGATTAAAATTTCATGTCATGCGATAAAAAATAAATGTATATAGCAAATTTTTTATGATTTGTTAATGCTTTTATTATTCAGATCAGTAAAAAAAAAAATGTTCATTTTTAACATTCCTTTCTTTTCTTTTAATTAACAAACTAAGTATTTTTTAAGTACTTATTTTTTATTCAAAATTTATTATGTAAACTGTATTTCTTTGTATATATACAGCTGTTTCATCAACATTGGGTAGTATATTACTATTATTACTCTGATTACTATATTCCGTGGATTTTATTATAGATATGAATAATATTATTACATTTTTATAATTGTATATCGATTCAACAATGTTTAGTGAAAACTTACAAAATAAATATTTTTCAATGAATCTCAATCGGTTATGTGAAATCCACACCTAAGTTTAAATCATTTTTTATGTTATATCGAGGTAGTTATGAAAGTAACTTGGAGGTAAACACATTTTGATTTACTTTTCAAGTTGAGGGAAACATAACAAGAAAAAAACTGAAACTACTGTAAAAAATGTAATAGGGAATTGTGCTGTAAAAATCCAATTGGCTTGAGGCTTCTATGCTGAACTCAAATTCGATTGTAAGACGTTCAAATAAATAAGAAAAAAAAAAATTTTCAAAATTATTTTTCAAAATGTGTATGAATATTTTAACTATTGCTGTTGATCATAAAGGTTGTAAATGCAAACAAATGTTAGTTATTGACAACAAGTTAACATTAATACGCTGACAACTAATAAATAAAATGGGAATTATACTTGCATGACTGTTTTTGGATTTTATTATTCAACACCAATTTCCAACAATACTTCATTGAAGATACTTTTTACTAACTCGTGATTCATAAGAAAATTTTAAGCATAATTCTCAATCGAAATTAATTGATTATTAATATAAAAAATTGGGGATTATGTTGCATGACTGTTTTTTGGATTTTATTATTCAACACAAATTTCCAACAATACTTCTTTGAAGATACTTTTTACAAACTTGTGATTCATAAGAAAATTTTAAACGTAATTCTCAATCGAAATTAATTGATAATATGCTGTCTGCATTGTAATTGAACATTATCTATTGTTATTTTACAATAGCATGTACATGACTTACACCGTTTGTGTTGTCAATTATATTCGATTTAATTAAATGATACATAATTCTAAAAATATTATGACTCCCATCATTACTACAATATTAAGTTTTAAAAAAATAAAAACCATAAATAGAGAATATTTAAAATTTACTAAATTGCGATTAAAAAAAAAAATACTAATTTACTTTAATATTAATGATCTGTAATATAAATCATTAACAACCATTTAAGCGTAATATACTTTTTAATAAATACTTCTTTATTTATTTATATAATTTTATTGTATAAATTTTGCAGAGAATATTCGATTTGTATAAATAGAAAACACATTATTTTGAACCATGTGTTTTAATTTTATTAGTCATTTAAATACTAAGCGTAGATCACTACTTTCACATTTGTTAGTATATACTAGATTCGGAAAATAAATAATAATATGTTTAATTCACATGACTCATAAAATATTTTGCGGTGAAATTATACAAATTTAAGTAATAAATTGTTTAATTATTTATGACATAAGAATCTCTGAACTGTTTAAATGTTTATATATTTGTAAAATAAAATTTTTCTAATAAATTGTAATTTAAGTACAACTCTGATGCCACTTTAAAAACTATACTTTAATTGTATACCCGTCATCATATTATGTAAACACTAACATTTTTCGTGGAAAATAAAAGTTTTTTGAATTTTATTTTTAAATTTATACAATGTTATTGGTAAGCTTTTACCTTAAAACTGTCCCTAAATCGTATTGTTATTAATTTAAAATCTAATTAGTAAGCGCGTGTTTTAAAAGAATCTTATTAAAAGCGATTTGGGCCTCAAGGAAAAGGGTATCTAGTTTAAACACGCGGTGTTTAAAACACCAAACATTTGAAATTGGTCATTTAAAACTGTTTAATTATGTTTTAAACAGTTAAAAAATATATAGATATTTCTGTAGTCGGCCATAACGATGCGACGTTAGGTAGACGAAGATCAACACGTGCTCGGAAACAATTTAGATAGACTCGTGTACTCGGCGAAACGTTATGACTTTTTCGCCACAAGAAAAAAAAACGGTTCGCGCGCACGGTAGTCTCGTTTTTTTACGTTGTCCCGTTGAGTGTTCCGGCAACCGGCTGCTGCAACGTTGGTGTGGGGGACTCATATATAATAGGCGTCGGACTGTGCGGCCAGCCGCAGAGTAGCGACGTGTCTCCTCAGCGGGTCTGTCCGTGTTCATTACACTCGTTTACGCGCGTTTGTCGACCGTCGGGAAATTAGCACGTATTTTCGTGATTTGTTTCCCTTTTGGTATTGTCATAAGTCTCCATCGGTTTGATGTTCATTACCGATAAACGCTTTTGACATTGTATCTGAAGACGCTACGAGTTCCGCGAAAATACCGATCGACTTTTTTTATCAGGTAGTTCGCGCGAGTAATTTCGTTGTAATACTCAGTGTTGTTAAAATAATACCATTGCAATACGATGACAATGGCTTACGAATCCCTTGCAGTGGTTAGCGTCTTGGCGCTGTTGTCGTGCCTAACGGGATACGCTGCTGCCGTCCAGACTGACGCCCAAGCAATGGTGAGTACATATATAAACTTTAACGGATTCTTTGTGCTGTTCTATTGGCGGAACTGAAAGACTTGAGTACACTTAATACTGCGGTTATTTATTTATCGGCAAATTATTGTTATTTTTTTAACGAAAAACAATTTTATACTTTCAAATGCTTATAGTTCAATTACCGGAAGGTTTTTGTTTAAAAGCCGCTACTGTTTTATTACTTATGGTAAAACATTTTAGAAATTTGGCCACGTTTAAATAATTGTTAAATACTATTAGATAAAAAAATCAGTGATCGTTTCAAAACATTTATATTCATGGACATTTTATACAAACGAGAGAATTAATTTGACTAAAGGAATACTTAAGAAAATTTCGTAATAATGTACAAAGTTCGTTTATGTAATTTAACCTTTACGTGGTAATTTTTTTGAACGATGTGATTAATTTTAAGTGTTGATGACGTGTTACGGAAATTCAATAAAAATGATTTATAAATTTCAGATGTATTTGTCGCAGTACGGTTACTTAAGCCCATCAATGAAAAATCCTAATTCCGGCCATATCATGTCTGAAGAGACCATGGCCAAGGCTCTCATGGAGTTTCAGTCGTTCGCCGGCTTAAACCTGACAGGTAAACGGGATTTATTTGTTTTAAAATTTAATTTTCTCAATCAATTTAACAATAAAACCGCAACGTTCTTCGATATGTGAACGTCAAGTGTCAGTGAACTTGAACATTTTTAAATTTGAATCTCAAAGTGTCCAAGTGATGTGAAAATTTGTAGATAATACGGAGATCTACATTTTTCTCCTCTTCATATTATTAAACGGAAAAAAACTGTCGGCAGCTTACACGATGCTTGTAAAATACATTATTTCAGTGATTCATTTTACATAGCTCAAGGGCAAATGCGCAAAGATTAATGACCTTCTTTGATACGGACCACTGTCATGGTTATTAATCGCAATGTGTGTTTTCCAATAAAATCGGTATAAAAATTTTGCGACAAAAAATTCATTTTCCCCCTGGCTTAGACAAATCGGTAAATTCATAAAAAAAAAAAAAACTAAGCTACATCACAGACTACGGGGATTACATACAAACATTTTATTAAAAATATATGTAAATCACTACTAACGTTTTGAATCACCAGCAACTTTGAAATAAATATGTTACTTTAACGACTTATTTTATAAATGAATTGTTAAAATGTGGATTACAGATATTACGGATTAAAGTTAAAATTCAAATAGTAATGCCACAGAAAATAATCAGATCACTTTAAATTATAGTACTATCGATTTCGGTCATGAAAGCACTAATTAAATTGTCATTATATGAATTCACTTTTACTATAAAAAATCAAACTAACATACATCATTCCGAGTTATAGAGAAATATGTAATACACTCAAAATGTTTTCAATTATAATGTGCATTGTTTTTCGCTATAATATTTCATTGTTGTAAAATACTGCCAGACGTAGAACTGCGACAGTGATTATTTTAACAAAGTTCATAATAATGACTGTTATAGCGTTGCGCGATTGGAATAACATTTATACTAAGGCAGTTAGTCATTAGAAAACTATACAGTACAATTATTAACATTTTATGATTTTAATTTATACACTGATTAGATTTTCGGATACAACATTTCAATTGTAATTAACGGCATACGAACGATTCATTGATAAATCATACCGCTTAGTTACCCCATGTATTGATAACTCTCTACAATTTACATGTCAATACATTTTACGTGGGGTAAAAGAGATTGATGCTGACATTTTTTTTTTCAATACCATCTTGTTCCGTATAAAATTAATGAAAGTTTATTAATGAATCTGGTATGCTCGCAGACGATACGAAATTTATCATTTTAGTTTGAAAACTTGCAAGACTTTGGCAAATTCAATCTCCAAAAACATACTTATACATTCCATCCGATTAATGAAATTAATCAATTTATTGCTGTAAAATATATTTTCATGTCGGGCAATATTAAATAATTAATACAACGCGTGATACAAATACGAATAATTTCAAAATTAGAAATGTTGCGGAAGACAAGCTTTGCACGTATGTGATAAATAACCTTGTAACAACGTCCATAATGGCCGGTTGATTGTCTATGGATTCGTCGAGTCTATCGGAGCACAAAAAACAATCACTTAAGAATTCTGTTTGAATATAAATTATGCACACGCGGCCGTCTTAAGCTGAACATAAGCTCAGCTGGTGATTGCCTTTTTGGATGTCCACCATCTTTGTAGTTGTTAGGTCTCCCTCGTTAGATGAATATATTAAACATATTTTTTATTTGTTTTTAATTGGATGTTTTTATTTATTTTGAAGGTCATTTGGATGATGATACGCTGCACTACATGACCATGCCCAGGTGTGGTGTTCGAGACAAAGTTGGTTTTGCCACTGACTCCCGGTCCAGAAGATACGCACTACAAGGTAAATATATGAGCTAATTTAGATACTGGGATTTAAAATAAATTATGGTTCAACAATAAAATATCAGGTAATGATGAATAAAATTCTTCGAGTAATTCTATACAAAGTTAACGGTTGTGTCCTTGCTAGCTACATTTTTTTCATTAATTATTTATTATTTTTAATAAATGTTTTTTGACACATATTTAATGTTTTCACACAACTTTAAATATCAAATTAACGCGTTACCATAATTTGTTTGTAATAAATTAAAAAAAAGTAACTGATACTTGAGAAACTAAATATATGTAAAATATCTTATTATAACACATAAATTAATTGTAATGATACAGTTTTATAAATACGTAATTAAATTCTGCTAAAAAAGATGTACATGGTAAAAATTTGAATAATATTTTTAGAAATAAACAACTCTTGTTTAATTTTTGTATATACATAAAAAAATAAAATCAAGTTAAATTTTGGTTTTAAGTTGTTGTCTAAAAATTCTAAGTATATTTTAACGTTTGTGGTTAAAACATATTACTTCCCGAAATAATTAAATATTTATTTCGCCTGTAAATACATTTTAATTATATTATTTCTTTGAGGTATTTAAACTTTTTTATTATTTTAGTTGGCTCATTGTTATAATATTAAAGTTATTTTTTGAAAAGAAAACTCAATGGAATAAACTTAATGTTTAATAAAAAAAGGGAGTTTGAACCAATCGTTCTTCTTAAAATTTATTAGTCAGAAAACATTATATCTTTATATTTTAATTGCCACAATAATTATATAATAACAATTGTTTAAGTAATTTTTTTTTTAATTGAATTGAAACTTGATTATTTGTAAGCTAGAAAAAGTTAAATTTGTGCCGGTATGTGTAAAAAATGTTTCAAAGTATTAGGGAAATATTTCAACTTTTATATCGGATGATATCGCATATGCTTACGATAAATGAGTATTGAATTTTTTGTTTATCGAATATTTGTTATGATAACCACGTCTAGTCATACACAATCTGTCAGGATTGCGGTTCTATTTTATTGTTCTCGATCGTCGAGAATCATGTTCAGTGAAAAATGAAAGAATATATACAGACGATGACACACTTTACCTGGGGTTCTCTTTTAGGGACTGAAAAAATGTTAAATTTCTTTTGCATGTGTTTTTGTCAAGTTCAATGCGACCAATTTTCCACTTGTCTTGTCGGTCTCGGACAAAAGGACAAATACATTGGCGGTTAAAGAAATATATTTGTGAGAAGGGAACAACGCAATATTGTTTTTCTCGACCCTTTTTTCAACACACTCCTACACATTTACGTATCCGCATCTCTCCTCTATCGTTTTCGCTCTTTCACTCTTGTGTCTGCCGCATACCGTGTTATTTAACGCATAACGTACACTTGTGGCCGACAAAATATCGTACCGGCAGCATTATATAACATTCGTACTGCGGTGACAATCTAAATAGGTAAAATTTAATAAGAATATATGCGTTTATTACGACTCAATTGTGCTATGTAACATGTTATACACATTGTATAAAAAGTAACGTTTTTTGGTTTTCCGCTATTCTATTTTGAGTTTCCATTGCTCTTAAAATTGTCCATTCATGTATTGGTTGCATTAAAAGTGTAAATTCGATACCAAAAACCGATCACCTGTTTTTATATTATAGCTGTACAATGTGCTTGTGAGAAACAGCGAGAGAGTTTGTGTAATGAAATTGTTATGATTAGGTATGCTTCATTCATCTCAATAGTATTTAAAAATTAAACAATATTTAATCTATTTAATAAATCATGACGATATTTTGATATGCTCATGACCCGGATGACCAACTTTTTTCTTTAAGATTTTGTTTAGGTAGGTCAAATAACAACGAAATCCTTTCAAATATAGTGTTTCAAAATGATAAATTTATTAAAAGCAAAGGTATTTTTGTGATTTTATCAAATTATGTAATTAATTTTATCATACATCAACACAAAGTGTAAAAATTATACAACATTTAATTATAGATATATTAAATATAATATATTTAATATAAATAATGGGGTCTTATAGGGTTTTTTCCTTTATATATGCAGATATCTCACAGGGTTTTGACATATTTAATTATTGATTCAATAAATATTATGCGTTACTTTAATTAAAAATTATTTTTACATTTTTGGACTACGAATTTTAAACGTATGTATATTATTATTTGTCTCAAATAACAAAAAAAAAAAATTATTTTTACTTCTTTAATTTTTCTAAATGGTCATTTTTAGCTTTTAGATAACAAACATTTTTGATTCGTCGATTACTACATAACGATTAATACTCATTGAAATATAAGTGTTGTGATACCTAGAGCGGGTATGATAGGTTTTTTCTAAAGCTATCTTTAATGAGAATTATTTTATGTATCTATGTCGTGTTAGAGTCATAAATAGTTCAATATAACATTGTTGATAAATTTTCTGAAAATAAATTTAAACTTACATTATAATGAAATATCCTCTTAAAAAATACTTAATGTATATATTACTGTCGCATTATGAGTTTTATTGGACCATATACTCGTTTATCCACAAACACCTTATAAACATTATCAATCACCTCATGAGCAGTGTTATACTAGGTAGGTTTATAATTAAAACTAAAAATTAATTTCATAACATTTAGTAGTCTGAGAAATTTCATATTTTCGAATAAAAATACTTTTCCTATAATTTTCAAAGAAAAAAGTATTTCTGAAACTTTTTAAACGAATTCATTTTTTTTTAGTAAAACAAAATATTTATATTAATAATTTCATTTTGGTTATTCTATAATATTTTTTTCGAAAAAATTGATGATTTTAGAAGATACTAATTGTGATGTATGTATAATGTTAAATCTATTATAGCAAATAATAGTTTAATAGGTGATTTTTCAATTTTATCAAAATATTATTTTGGTAATAGAAAAGGTGTAGAATTTGTTCTTTTACTATTATGTTTATAAAATTTATCATATTTATGATATGAGTTAAAAAAATATATTTATAGTATAATATTATTAAAGAAATTTACTGTATTAATGTTTAATAGTATAAAAAAGATTATTGGTATTCATTATTTGAATGAAAAAAATATTCTATGAAAATGAAAAATTAATAAGTACCATAAGATTTATATTTCTAAAAAAATATTGCAAAAGTAAGCTATATCGTTCAAATTATGTTATCTAGAAGAATTAACACTTCATTATGAGAACAACATTTTACTAGATGGGAAAATTTATTTAGATTATAAATTAAATAGAAATAAAAACATTATACAAAAGAGCATCATGTTTAGATAAATATTTTAATAGATTTAAATCAAGAACAATTATTTTATGCACTTTTTTATTTAAATGATTTAGGTACAAAATATGTATATTATATATAGTATATTTATATATAGTATAAAATTTGTTACTACTCAGAATTTTTATGTTCAATTACAGGTGCTTATTTAAGTGTAGATAATTTTCATGGAAAAAGTTACGTACTTAAAATTAATATTTAGTGTGGAAAAATTTCATTTTCTTCCCTTTTCTCAATTTATTTTTCAATGTTTGATATCGAAAGAAAACATACAAAAATGCTCACAAACTTTATAATGGTACAAATAATTTACTTCTGAACATTAATAAGATATCATTTTACCAATTTTTCCCTTAGAATCTATTTTCAGTATCTTGAGTTATCATTTATTTTTTAAATTTTTAGTAAATTTCAAATTTTTTTATTTTTTTAATAATTTAATAAATATGGTATGTTATATTATTTGTGTTGTCTTCAAGTACAAAAATTATTTAATAAAGAAATTAACGTAAAATATTAATCGGATTAAAAGTTATTGAACTTGTCATATGTTCGTTAATCTTAGAGAGAGATAAAGAGTAAAATATAATAAATATTTATTATTTTTTTGATTTATTAAATTTCACAAGTAAAGACCCCGAAAATAAATCCATTATTTATACAGACGTGATTAGTTATATCACTTCGATCTGTGATAAATAAATTATTAAAAATAGATATATTAAATGTTACTATGAGGTATGTAACGAATATTAGGTACTTGTGTTTTGCTTGAATCCGTCACGCTTTAAGTTAGGACATAGGATGTAGGATATCCGGAGTGTGGTCAAATATTGTTATTGTCATGCAATATATGACTGAAATCGAAATAACAATGGCTGAGTAAAAATAAAACCATATAATTCTCCAAGTCATAAAATTTGTGCCATATTTTTTCGCTGAAAAAAAAATACGTGTAGTTTAGTTAAAAATAACTTCCTCGATTCAATAATAATGATAGTTCAAGAGGAACATCATATTTTAAAACATTTTTGTTTAATTTTTTTATTATAAAAAGCAATGAAAATTTATATTCAAAAGTTATACTACTTTGTGAGATAAAATAAAATTGACCGTGCGTGGTGTCAATGTCAAGGATAAAGAACAAAACGTTATTTCTATATCTTTGTCCTATCATATTTACATAAATATAATTAGATATTATGAACATTTCATCGAGTAGAATACAATGTATGACTAATTTTATCAATAATTTTTTATCGTATTACTATGAGAAGAGATCAGTATTTGTTTTATGGTAATATTATATTTAAAATGATTGGAACAATTTTTCATTAGTTTTAAATAATAGTAAAATTTATAAAAACAAATACTCAGATATTAAAATATTGACTAAAAATATATTTTAAAATTATTTAAATTGATAAAGTTCATATAATAATGATTATAACTTTTTTACGATTTATATTAAAACTTGACGGCAAATATAAATTATTTGAACCACAATGCTCATTAACCCAAATATCTATTCATTCGTTATATAATTTATACAAAGAGACACACAAGTTTTTCACACGTGACTTACATTTTGGTTCATTAAAAATGTCAATAATAATACTATAAAAAAAAATTCGCTATATTGATCAATTCACAAGAATTTTCCATTAGAATCATGGACTCCTCATTAATAAATAATTCATAGTAAATAAAAATCTTTTAAACTAATTTTTTTTTAATTGAATTGCAAAAGAACTTAACACTTATGTATAACGTCTAAAGAAGTTACTCATACGTTTTAAGTAAATAAATACTTTCAGTATTATAATATATGTATGATTAAAAAAAAATAAACGTTTATAGTTTTTTTATAATTTAAAATAAAATTATTAGAAAATTATCTGTAATATAACAATAAAATTTAAAGTGGAGGTTAAATAATTATTAATTATATTCTTTAATTAAAGAATGTAATTAATATAAAAATATTTAACACAATATTTTTCTTCAGAATTTTACGTCTCACCTTTCTGATTTTTTATAGTTAAATACTAAATAATGTTTGTTTTTATTTATGAATTGAATAATTTAAAACTTGGACTGACAACTTCTAAAATTAAATAACAGAATGACCAAGACCTTCGTAGAAAACTTTCCTTGGTTAAATGTTACATACAAAAAATATGTTTCAAAGATATTTATTATGGGGGGATATTTGTCTGTGACAACAGTGTCGTTTCCAACATCAAAACAGTAAATCGCGTAACGCCATGACCAATTGATAGCATGTATTTATTAGGTACTTACTTTGCAATAAAAAAATCGCTAAAGATATAAATTGTAAGACATATAATTGCAAATTTAGAAAAAAATCTAAAATACATTTAAGTAGTTGCTAAAATTATAAAATCATTTTTACGCTCTTTTACATGTGCCCGTCTGTAGTGAAGTGTGAAACGAATTTCCGTGGAGAATTTATCGGGCGTCATTTTCTCAAGCACACGTATGTTCGATCAAAATAATAAATCTAAAATATCGTAGTTTCTTTGTGAAAAAAATAATAATAATAACAACATATTCAACGTTGTAGGATTCAGGAAATGCGATTAAATCAATGTCGTAGTTGTCACGCGAGTATATTACATAATCTGCCATGAATGATAATTGTTATTAAGGTTAGGTACACTTTGTATTTACTTATTTTAGCCTAGATACAACTTGATTAATCATCTTAGAACTCTAATTGTTATTATACATCGGGTCACTTCCATAATTCTTATTGAAATGTGGTGCATATATGTAGCATGACGTACAACGCAATAATTCATTAATAATGTTTATTTATAGGTAGCAGGTGGAGGGTCAAAGATTTAACGTATAGAATATCAAAGTATCCCAAAATGATAAGTAAATCGGAAACAGATGATGAAATTCGCAGAGCTTTTGAAGTATGGTCAGGAGTAACACCTTTGACATTCACTCATAAAAAATCTGGACAGGTATAACATATACTTCATTTTAGATTAAAATAAACACATTCCATGATAAAGTAGTTTATCAAGTAGTTACTTAAATGAAATATGAAAACATTAATCGGCAAAAATATTTACTTTAGAAATTTATTATAACAGGTTCATATTGAGATTAGGTTTGAAAAAGGTGAACATGGTGATGGTGATCCTTTTGATGGTCCAGGCGGTACTCTTGCTCACGCTTTTTTCCCAGTATATGGAGGCGATGCTCATTTCGACGATTCGGAAAAATGGTCCATTGGTTCTTTTAAAGGTAAACTATATAAAAAAAAAATCGTTTCTAATAATTAAAAAAATAGCACTTTAATATATAGCCCATATAAAATATGGGCGTGTTAAAAGTTTTGTCATATTTTTACATTTTTTATAAAAAATATCCCAAATTTTCGTTACAGGAACAAATTTATTTCAAGTAGCAGCTCATGAATTCGGTCATTCTTTAGGCTTATCCCACTCTGACGTAAGATCAGCACTGATGGCACCGTTTTACAGAGGTTATAATCCGTCTTTTAATCTTGACAGCGATGACATAGAAGCAATTCAGGTTAATACGGATATTCTAGGATATTTTTTAAATAGATCATTTAATAGATTACACATTTTGTTCTATTTTTTAGGCACTTTATGGCTCAAATAACTCCGATGAAAATCATGGTGGCGATGATGACGAAGACAGTACTGGTCAAGGATCAGGTAAGAAAACAACAACCGAAGAAGCACCGACGGAAGGTAGTGACGCTGAATTATGCGCCGATTCGAAGGTGGATGCTCTGTTCAATTCAGCTGAAGGTGACACGTTTGTGTTCAAAGGTAAAGGATGTAAACAGTTGATGATGTGTTTATTTAATGATACAGTCGATTTATTGAATTATAATTTGAGCTATATTATTAACAGGCGACTATTATTGGAAGCTAACGCAAGACGGATTAGCGCAAGGATATCCTAAATCTATAACGGGTACTTGGTCTGGTTTACCTGGTAATATCGATGCAGCATTTACCTATAAGAATGGAAAAACTTATTTTTTCAAGAGCTCTAAATATTGGAGATATACTGGCACAATGATGGACGATGGGTATCCAAAAGAAATAGACGACGGATTTACCGGTATCCCAAACAACGTAGACGCTGCATTGGTTTGGAGCGGAAATGGAAAAATATACTTTTTCAAAGGTAAGCTCTTTTATCATTTTGTCAAACTATAGCGTTTTTAAACATTGTCTAATTTTTAAAAAAACTAGAGTTTATGACAAATATTGTTGGACATGCTTTGTCAAGAGTACACATACTTATTTTTTTTTACCTTGTTAGAAAACATTCTATTCTAATTACATTTTTTGACAGAAATTTTTTTTAAAATGGAGCACGAAGAAAAATAATTACTTAATTTATTTCGAAGAACGTCTCGATTTTTAAAGATAAACTATTTTTGAAAACGTCAAATCACCGTTCATAACGAAGAATAACATAATATATTATTCCTCGTCCAAATTTTATGTTGTTGCCCTCGTTCGCGGTGTTTTCCTTTAAATCTTTTGTTTTATAACTCTACCTTTAATCTTTACTTTACCTTTTTATGTATTATTTATTCTACTTTCTTAAATCAGTCATATTTATTCACACCCATTTGGCATTTCTTCTATTATGTATGATACTTATTGCTTTGGGCACATCCAGTTTTACTAATGAGCTCGTTTCCTCTTTTGTGTTGCACTCTTAACACTCTTCAAATCCACTCTTATATGGTTATTATTCTTTTCAAAAGTTCTTTTACATGTATTATCGTTGTTCGTTTCTGATGCTCGAACATGATTAAAACATAAGACGTATGATTATTATTATATTTCGTAGTGTTTATAAATATATAACTGCAAACAAAACTTTTCAACCGACGTCAGTGACATGCTTATGTAACCGACAGACATTTTGTATTTTACTTCCACTCAAAACGGTTCACAAAACTTTAGAATAGCTTTTTTGTTTACAGATTGTGACAGCTAGTTAAAACGAAAAAAATATTATTACATTGATAATCTTATTTTCTATTTCTATTTGCATTTAAGGTTCCAAATTCTGGAAATTTGACCCAACCCAAAAGCCACCAGTAAAGAGTACTTACCCTAAACCAATAAGTAACTGGGATGGAATACCCGACAATATTGACGCTGCTCTGCACTACACCAACGGTTACACTTATTTCTTCAAAGATGAAAATTATTACAGATTTAATGACAGAACATTTGCTGTAAGTTTATTAGCTTATAAATTCATCAGTTACAAACTTTGATTTTTTCTTAATATTGAGCGACATATGAAAAACGACAAAGTCCACATATTTTCATTGATTCATCAATTTTAATTTTATATTTCATTTTAGGTTGATACAGCCGACCCACCTTTTCCCAGAAATGCCGGCTACTGGTGGTTTGGATGCAGAGCTGCAAACAAAGGAAATCACCAGGACGCTACGGCGGCGCCCAGCGTGCACAGCCCGACGTGGACGGATGTGAGACGGGACCACAAGGGTAATCAAAATACTGACGTTGGGGACCTGATATTGGACGCAGGTGAGGAGATTTACCGATAAACGGCCGGGACGTTTTATGATTTGTCACTGTTTTACACCCGTTTATATATACAAACTTGTACACTATAACTGGCCTATAACAACTATGTTTAATCATCTTAATGGACGAATTGCCGCCGTAAGATGCGAAAACTTGTTTTTATCCGACGCTATACTGCTTCCGCATCCATTATCATCCTGAAAAATCATAAGGGTATATACATTTATTAAGAATGTTTCACGTTACATATATATATAAAAGTTTAATTTTTATAATTTACATCCAATGCATTTACTATTGCATGGTATACTTTTGATAATAAACGTGAACATTTTAAAAAGGTCAATATATATTTATGTTTAATGATAGAGATTTTGCACACATTATAATGAACTGCACTTGGCGTGCTTAAGTATTATTTATCAGTGATGGTTTTTTTTGCTTTTTTCACTACAATTTATTACATACATAAATCATGGTCAACGATGCGTTATTGAAATTCTGCTTTGGCAGTGGACATTGAAAGCATGCGACAAAGTAGAAGCATTTTAATAGTGACGGTTTTTAATTTTTTTTTTTTTTTTTACAAAACTGTTATGTGAGTCGACGCATGACTGGCGGAGTAATTGAATACAGAAAAATTATTAGTATTTATTTAGTTTAGTAAATAGTTTAAATATTTAGTTAATTACAATTGTACTATTATTATTAGTAGTTACACAGAAATACACTTTTTATTTGTGTTCATCATTCCTGCATGTTTTTTATATGTGGCTGTAGATGGTTTGGTATTTTTACATTTGCTTGTAGTTAAATTGTTTTATTTAGTTTAATTTTCGTAGAATGTTATTTGGTATAAAAGTAGTTTGATTTTATGTAATTAGTACCTGTATATTTATTCTGTATACACTATTATAGCTGTGTAGAAGATCTGTTGCGTTCAGTGCTGATTGGTCTGCCTGCCATATGAATGATTTTGGTTACTACTGGCAAAAAATGGTTTATGATAATAATAAATTAATTTTAATTGTCATACTACTTTGTATCTTTAAAAAACATCAAAATTGGATTGTGTTAACAGAAAATGGCGGCAGTAATGGAAGAAAATTAATATTGTGATATGGAGCACTTAGGTGCGCCAAAATTGTTAGATTTAAGTTTGTTGAATGTTTCTAATTGGACCCAATGTATACACCATGTACGTCAAGATCTTCAAGACATGTGAGATTGGTCTCACTCATTACTGACCAGCAAAACTGGTAAACGTCACCTTGATATTTAGGAGTATTTATTTTACATCAAAATCTTTAAGTACAACTTTTTTAATAATAATAATAATTTGCTTGGTAAAAGTATTTATAATTATATTTTTTATTGTACTTGTTCAGTATTTGGGTCAATAATATTTTTTACTTAAGACTGAATTTTATACGCTTCGTTATAGTTGCATTATTTGTATACTAATATAAAATCCTAAAATATAAATAGTTAATTTTAAATGTTAATAAAATATGTTTTGTAATTTGTATGTTTATAATGTTATTGTATGATATTCACCTCTTACAGAGACAATGTATCATAAAAGTAATATTTATACATAACATTTTATTTAGTATAAGTAATAATTGCCCAATGGGAAATGTTGTTTTATTTCTAACACATTGTTCGATCGAGACACTATTTCAATGTGTGTATCTATTGAAATATTGTTGTTTGATAACAAAATATACAAAAATCATTTGAGTGGAAGTTTTTTGTTGTTTATTTTCTCCTCCATCCTAAGATTTATGTGACATAATATAGTGTTTTCATATGCATTATTTCATTTTGTCAGCCATAGAAAATACGATGATATCAAGTAAAATTGGAATCATTTTAATTTTGAAAACTGGCTATTACCTTTTTACTTTATTTTTGTTTTAGATGAGGTATTGATTTGTGGTACAGTCTTATTTTCGAAATATTTTTTTTATATGATCTAGGTTTTACGTTATTTGTTAATAAGAAATAAAAAAAAATGTTAATTGTATATTTTTATGAATGTAATATTTTGTACATAAATATTTTATGTATAAATGGTATGACAGAAAAAAAATTGATGTGGAGAACAATAATTGATTAGGTTCGTAAAGAGTCTTAATAAGAAGAAGCGTGAAAGTAAGATAAACGATAGTAGCGGTGTGTGCTAAAAGCAAAAAAAAAAAATACACAAGAAAAGTGTGCCTGTTTGTGTGAGGCAGAAGAGGTTTTGCAGCAGGGCGGTCGTGCGGAAAAAGATTCCGTAGAAAAGAAAACGAAAATGAAGCTTATCCGATTATGTGAATGTGAAGATCCTTTAAAAAATTGAAGGAATTATAAAACTATTATTATACCCGTAGAGAAATCGCTAGTATTAACAATTATTCGCGAAAAATGGTATCATTTACTTTTTATATAAATATAGGAAATTTCGCTTATGTCATGCTGTTAAAACAAACGCTGGTTTCGTTTAATGGTAGTTTGAGATCATGACTCTAATGATATATAAGTTATTAATTCAAGAGTAATTTATACATTTTTTCAGTTAAATAGTATTAATAACCTAAAGCCGTAGATTTTATGGATCTATGTTTAGAGGCATAACAGGGTTGTGGCTAAAATATGTATGGGTTAGAGACGTATTTATGTGCCTCTTTTACCTCAAAAACTAATGTGTCAATTTTAAAAATTATTTTATTTCATTTTCCTTTAAATTTCATATCACCTACATCTTTTGTAACCAGCCAAAGTAACATGATACTCTTCAATGTTTCCTTTATGTATAAAGAATAATAACTTATTTTTTAACTTAAAAAAATATTGATGTTTAAAAAATAATGATTTATGTTGTGTATAATAATATGGTAGATAATGAATTTCAAAATAAATAAATTTCATATACATATAAATTTTTTTTTGAAAGGAGAAGTAAGTTTGAAAATTCAATTATTGTTAATTAGTAATAATTGTTTTTTTTACTTTTGAATATTTGTCAATTTAAAAACGGAAACAAGATGTCCTAAAACTGTGAAATTGTATTTAAAGATAATTAAAATCAGTTCAACTGGTAATTTATTCTGTTAGAGTATCGTAATACGAACATTAACTACTAGGTAGCGCATTGTTACACTACATGAAATAACACTGTGGTTTTCCAAACAGCTTCAATCAATAAGGTCAAGTGCCTTGTTTAGAGATACATTCGACGATTTTATATGAATAAAGTATCCCTATAAAATAATTCAAGTGTCAGTACCGTTCACAATGAATCCGTCTTCTCTGTCCAATACCACACACCCCTGAGATACCTTGTAAAACCAAATATTATAAAACTTAAAATCTGATTTTTAATTGTTTCGATATTTAGGTGACCCAAATGAAAGAACTCGGACGATGCCAAGAACAGCTGACGTTAATAATGGATCAGAAAATCAAACGTCAAAGTTCTTCGTCATTACAATTACTGTTTTCCTGTGGTATGTCAACTATTGAGCAATCGTCATGCACATATCCTGTGCAATCAACTGCTAACTGTGATACAAAACATATTTATTATTAAGCTATTTTCTCCTAAAATGTGTACAGTTTCTAGTATAGTGAAAGAAGTAGTATTAATTCTTTGTATATTATTTTTATTTTAAAATGTCATTAGTTTTAGGACAAAATAAAATAATATTGATTATGAAATAATTTTAAAAATCGCTCACTACGAATAATTTGAAGTTGTACAAACAGGCTTTTATGAATAAGTATTTAATAATTTAATGATATATTTAAAAAATATATTTATTTATTTTTATAGAATTGAAATACAAAAAAAAAAAAAAAAAATTGTCTGAATAATTACCATTGTCCGTTTTTAAAAGCTTCTTTTTGATTACGAATGAATGAACGTTCATATTTTTGAATAATTAAAGTGCTAATTTACTCGATGCAACAAAAAAAAAAAAAAAAAGAATCACTGAGATAAAAGTTATATTAAAAATAAAAGTATTTTAAAATTTTGAAAGAGAAATCAGTATAAATTAATTAAATTTATCAATTATCGAAATCTGCGGTTGACTTAAATTAGATAACCGCAGTGGTTTGGAGGATACCTGTGTTTTGTGGTATCTAAAGTTGATCTAACTGAACTACGGTAACACGTTGTATAATAAATTGTTGCGTAACGTTTATATGACTACAAGCACACAAGTTATTATGCGCGTGATTCAGTTGTTTATAAGTAAACGGCGTATTTTGTCATATTTTACTGCCGTTTACAACATTGTTATTAGATATGTAATGTAGAGTTTCGTGCACAGTAGGGGAACACAGGATCTAGTAATGATTGTGATAAAAAATGGTCGATTCAAAAAGCCTAAACTTAAATGCTAAGGTAAGTTTTAAATTATTTATCTTAAAATTATACTCCGTTATTTGAACAGAAGTATTAGGAAAAGGATTATAATCATTTTTATGAATATCTGAGCGCCTTACTTTTTATTCAAACAAAATATAGGCGTCACTTCGACTTATTTTAAAATGACTTAAAATCGTTTTTAATGGCTGACAGTGTTAAACGTGGAAGAACAACCACACCGACCAATCCGTTTAGTGCATTTAAACTTTTATTTTAAAAAATATCACAAGTAATCAAGTTCTAAATATATACTCGTCGGCAAAGTCTTAGTACGGATCAAGGAGTATAGGAGATATCTATTCTTGTTTCGAGCCGCGCTTAAAGAGGAGTCATAAGTTTTTTGTTTTATTCAACCCGATGACACCGCGGCTGCTATTGAAAACTTTTAAACAATAACGCCTAATTAAACACGCCATCACTTATGCGCGTACGTAAAATGTGTTAAGAGCTTTATAGTCGAACGTGCGATAACGATGTTGGCCGCCATCCACCGCAGTGCCCGTGCAGTGGTTTACAGTCGAATGACGATAGCGCATACCCACAACAATCAACTGTTTTTGTTTGGCCTTTGGTGACAATGCCTTTAGTATTGCTTGCAAACCGAATATTAACGCCTACCTATGCTGTGTAAAACGTGTAAGCACGGCGTAATAATAATGCGCTATAACAATGAAAACAGTCGAATAAATGTGTACACAAAACATTATAGGCTTAATATGAATTGATATTTTGTGAAAGGCTAACTCCACAGATAAACGTTATGTAAACGGATTACCAGGATTTAACACCATAGCAGGAATTTTACTATAATATTCCAAATAGACATAATAACCAATAAGTATTAGAACGGCTTTTGTATTAAATTGCGCTCACTAAGATTTTGATAATTTCAGTATACGCACTCGGAATGAATTCTGAAAAATTTACTCAGCAAATTAAACAAGGTAGATGTAAAATATACTCATTTAGAAATGCTATTAGATATTTTATTACATAAAGTATTTTAAGGATAGGAATTATTTGCAAGTGAATCGTTCTGATGGTTATTGTTTAAAAGTTTTCGGCGTGAGTTTGGGAGCATAATTAAATTTTTTATTTATTTTAAGAATATAAATTATGATAAACTTTGTAAGAATTTCTTAGAATTCGCTATTAGTAGATTAAAGTCTCATAAACGTTGGACTTTTTATCGAATAATGTTTGATAAAAATAAAACGAAAATATTTAGACTATTTTAAAGATAATACTTAATACACTTATAGCATATAAAAAGCAAAATTTAATACAATAAATTTAATCCTCCAATGAATCTATTAATTTCCCTAATGTACTATGCATGTAACTTAATAGTATTTATGGATATTGAACAGTCCTATTTATAAAGGTATTTGAAATTGTATCAAGACTACATCTAATAACACTCCAACCGAAACAAATACCATTAAGCTATAATGTGCATAGTGCATGCGTGAGCGGTATCGAGTGTCTATGAGCGAGTGGGGTGAAAAGACGACTGCAGAGTAACTTCATTAAGACATCAAAAGCCAGTCAAACCCAATTAAACATGGTATGTACCTATCTTATTTCTTCGAGTGTATGTATACACTTGTATTAATGCGAAGTAAACATAATATTTCATTGGGGCAACTAAAAATAAGTTCCAGAATTTTTAAATATATACCAGTAAAGTACTGTTTAGGATAATAACAATGTTCTTACTCTAAAAACCCTCATACATACATACTATATTAATTTAGAAAATATTTATATTTGAATGAAGTGTTGATTTAACACTTGAATTAATTTAACGAAAAATTGCAAAATAAACTTCATAATTTAATAACAGGAATATAAAAGTACAATATAAGTTTAAACCAATATAAAAACAGATTTTTTACATTTTTTCATAAAATTATCTAATATGCACATAAGTATTAATAATTTTCTTTTTACTCCAAGTAAGGACTAATAACAAACATTTTGACGTGTTCCTAATTAATTAATTAGTTTTTTTTGTTCATTAAATTGCTTTGCAAAGCTTTTTAATTCCATGAAGTATTTTACAGAAAATTTTATTGGAAAAATATTTGAATAAATATTAACGGAACTTTATTATTGTTTAATAATACTTTGATTCTTTTTATGAGCGAAAAAAACTAGTTATATATAGTTGATTGGTTCATAAACAGAAATACATGTTTTAAAATCAATATGTGACTAAGAATTTTTTTAACTTAAGATGAACACTCACATTTTTACACATAAATATTATTTTATGGAAATTCATTCAAAGGTTGAGTTTTCGTCTTAGTCAAAACAAAAAAATTTA